ATGGTTGAAGATCCCAAAGAATTATAGGACTGCCTTAATGAAAGATTTGGACACCACAAAAGGGTGCTCCTTCCTAAGGCATTATTTGATTGGATAAATTTACGGTTCAAGGATTTCAAATCTGTAATAGATTACAATTTAACCATACATGAGATAGTATTTATATTGAGATACTGTGATCATCCAGTCACCGATGAACAAATGATTGAAAAAACACTCACTACCTTTCATGCAAGCAACATACTGTTGCAAGAACAATATCGTGAAAGAGGTTTTAAGAAGTTTAATGAATTAATGAGTGTATTGCTTGTTGCGGAACAAAATAGCGATCTTTTGTTGAAAAATCATAATCTCAGACCAACTGGGTCTTTGGCCACTCATCATGAGGCGAATGCAACAAATTCCTATCCACCTGAGTCAAATGCTACAAGAAGAGGTGGACGTGGAAATTACAATGGCCGTGGAAGAGGTCGTGGAAATTATCGCGGACGCGGCCGTGGTCGTGGTAGAAATAATTTTCAAAGAAACAGTAATTTCAAAAATTTTGAAAAACAGAAGGGACAGTCATCTGGAAGCCACAAACAAACTCCTTCGAAAGGAAAAGACACATGTTACAGATGTGGCATGACAGGACATTGGGGACGTACTTGTCGAACGGCCAAACATTTGGTAGACCTTTACCAGGCTTCTGTAAAAGGCAAAGAGAAAAATACAGAAGCAAATTATGTTAATGAGGAAAATGCTCCCTGTCCCAGCCTTGATGTGTCTGATTATTTCATGGATAATGCTGAAATTGGAAATGATTTCATTCTTAGAGAAAACAACAATAATTAGGTTTCTCATCTACTAATGTAACATATGCTATAGTTTAATGTATTTTCTTAGTTCCCTGTATTTTAAATTTCTAGTCATGTACTCTAAATCTCTATCATCAATAAAAGTTTGTATGATATTATTCTAAACTAATCTCAAATTTATTTTATGAAGATATGGATCTACCTGAAGTTAGTTCCGAATATCAATACCTTTTGGACAGTGGAACAACGCACACTATCTTAAAAGATAGAAATTATTTTTCACAACTAAAGTTGTTTCAAGCAAATGTGAACACTATTTCTCGGTCAGCTAAATTAATTGAAGGATCTAGAAAGGCTTGTATCAATAATGCTTTATATTCGAGTAAATCTCGAAGAAATCTCATAAGCTTTAAAGATGTACGCCAAAATGGCTACCATCTAGAAACAATGACAACAGATCAAAAAGAGTATATATGCCTCACGGCAGAAAAACATGGCAAGAAACATATATATGAGAAATTGCCAGCATACTCTTCGGGGTTATATCGTATAAACATACGACCCGTGGAAATCAATATGGTATCTAACCAGAAGTTAGATGACAAACATTTGATTATTTTATGGCATGATCGTTTGGGACATCCAGCAACTGGGATGATGCAAAGAATAATAGCACATTCAGTTGGACATTCAATAAGAAATGTCAAAATTCCCAAATCAGATGAATTAACATGCTCTGCATGTTCACTTGGCAAATTAATAATAAGGCCATCCATGAACAAAATTGCTACTGAATCTCCAAAATTCTTGGAAAGAATTCAGGGAGATATATGTGGGCCGATTAATCCAGCATGTGGACCATTTCGATATTTCATGGTTTTAATTGATGCCTCTACACGATGGTCACATGTTAGTCTACTTTCAAGTAGAAATGTTGCCTTTGCAAAATTACTTGCCCAAATCATCAAATTAAGAGCACAATTCCCAGATCATACAATAAAGAGAATAAGACTTGACAATGCTGGGGAATTTACATCCCAAACATTTAATGATTACTGTATGTCAATTGGAATTGATGTTGAACACCCAGTAGCTCATGTTCATACACAAAATGGTCTAGCTAAATCACTAATTAAGAGATTACAATTGATTGCAAGACCATTATTAATGAGATCAAAATTGCCATCATCTGCTTGGGGACATGCTATAATACATGCAACAACACTAATTAGATTGAGACCTACAACTTATCATAAATTCTCACCACTACAACTTGTTTGTGGTAGAGAACCAAGTATCTCACATCTAAAAATCTTTGGTTGTGCTGTATATGTTCCTATTGCTCCACCCCAACGAACAAAAATGGGTCCACAAAGAAGGCTGGGAATTTATGTCGGGTTTGAATCCCCCTCTATAATTAAATACCTTGAACCATTGACTGGTGACTTATTTACGGCTAGAATTTGCGGACTGTCACTTTAATGAAACAGTATTCCCAGCCTTAGGGGGAGAGAAAGTGGACCCACGTAAGAAAGAAATTGAACTCATTTGGAATGCAACACAACTGTTGATGTTAGACCCACGAACAAATATGTGTGAACAAGAAGTTAAGAAAATTGTTCATTTACAAAGTGTTGCAAATCAATTGCCTGATGCATTTGTAGACACAAAGAAGGTGACAAAATCACATATACCAGCAGAAAATGCCCCTGCACGTATTGAAATCCCAACTGGTAATAAGGCATAGAAAATGAATCTCAGGCACGCAGAAAGCGTGGAAGACCACTTGGTTCAAAATATTCTAAGCCAAGAAAATTGAAAAGATTGGATGGAATAGAAAATGAGACTAATGATGTTCCCCCGTTAGAAGGTCAAGAAAGACCAAATGTGGATGAAAGTAAAGAAAATGATGATAATCCAAAAGGGGACGAACAAGAAGACAACCCTACGGGGAATGAACAAGATGTTCAAAACATCGATAACAATGAAATTTCAATGAATTACGTCTCTACAAAGACTCAGTGGAATAGGAAAGATGTTATCGTTAATGAAACATTTGCAAATTCCATCGCAATCGACATCGTGTCAGATGAAAATGATGTTGAACCAAGAACTGTAGAAGAATGTCGACGTAGGAGTGATTGGCCAAAGTGGAAGGAGGCAATGCTGGCTGAGTTAAAGTCACTTGAAAAACGAGAAGTTTTTGGGAAAATAACCCTTACACCAGCAGGTGTAAAACCCGTTGGATACAAATGGGTATTTGTGAGAAAACGTAATGAGAAAAATGAAATAGTTAGATAAAAAGCAAGACTTGTAGCCCATGGATTTTCTCAAATTCCAGGGATTGATTATGAAGAAACATATTCTCCAGTGGTTGATGCAACTACATTAAGATTTCTGGTAAGTTTGACAGTACAAAAGGACTGCAAATGCGATTAATGGATGTAGTGACTGCGTATTTGTATGGGTCACTCGATACGGACATTTACATGAAAGTCCCCGAAGGACTTAAACTACCAGAAAACCACAAGCCTAGACAACTGCTTTCCATAAAACTAAAAAGGTCACTTTATGGATTGAAACAATCTGGAAGGATGTGGTACAACCGTCTGAGTGAATACCTTATGAGAGAAGGATTCAAAAACAACCAAGTTAGTCCCTGTGTTTTCATAAAGCGATCACAATCAGGATTCGCTATCATTGCAGTTTATGTTGATGATTTAAATATCATTGGAACCCCAAATGAACTCGAGAAAACTGCAAAATACTTGATGAAAGAATTTGAGATGAAAGACCTTGGGAAAACTAAATTTTGCCTTGGACTACAAATTGAGCACTTGAGTCATGGCATTTTTGTCCATCAATCAAACTATACAGAAAGAGTTTTGAAACGTTTCTTCATGGACAAAGCAACCCCAACCAACTTCCCAATGGTTGTTCGTTCTTTGAATATGAAAAATGATCCATTCAGACCCCGAGAAGAAAATGAAGAGATTCTGGGTCCAGAAGTACCATACTTAAGTGCAATTTGAGCCTTAATGTACTTAGCTAACAATACTAGACCCGACATAGCTTTCTCTGTGAATTTGTTAGCCAGGCACAACAATGCACCAACATATAGGCATTGGAAGGGAGTTCGACACTTACTCCAGTACCTACGAGGGACACAAGACCTTGGTTTATATTACCAACCAAAACAAGATGCTGCTCTCATTGGGTATGCAGACGCTGGATACTTATCAGATCCTCAAAATGCCAAGTCACAAAATGGATATGTATTCACTTATGGAGGCACTGCAATATCTTGGAAATCAACAAAGCAGACATTGACTGCGACATCATCAAATCATGCAGAGTTGATAGCCCTCTACGAAGCAGGACGAGAATGTGTATGGCTAAGGTCGATGATCAGTAATATCCAAAAGGAGTGTGGAATGAACGCAATAACAGAAGACCCAACCGTCATCTTTGAAGACAATACAACATGTATTGCTCAAGTAACTGAAGGATATATTAAGGGAGATAAAACGAAACATATTGCCCCAAAACTGTTCTTCACACATGATCTGCAAAAGGACGAGGAAATAAATATCCAACAAATCCAGTCTTGTGAAAATCTTGCCGACCTTTTCACCAAATCACTTCCTTCGAAGAAATTTGAACAGTTAGTTCACAAAATCGGAATGCGACATCTTCGTGAACTATGCTGAGATCAGGGGGAGTATTATATGTACTGCACTATTTTTCCCTTGATCAGGTTTTTATCCCACCGGGTTTTTCCTGACAAGGTTTTTAACGAGGCAGTATACCAAAGCATATAATACTATATCGTTATACTCTTTTTCCCTAGCTATGGTATTTACCCCATAAGGGTTTTACCTAGCAAGGTTTTTAATGAGGCAACAAATACCTTTTGTGTATAAGTATGGGCATTCAAGGGGGAGTGTTAGAAGGCAATGTGAATGCCAATAATTGATTTGATGTTACAATGCATATATGAGTCCAACCCTTGTGAACCCATATTGTCTATATGTATGAAATCATTGTACTCTTAGTTGAATACTCATGCTATATATAGAGTGACATGCAAGAGAAATTTAACGAGCAATACTTATCAGTTCCTCTATCTCCTCTTACTCCTTCATTTCTCCGAAATAAAACTTTCTATTAGTAAAATTTTTAACACTGTCGCTATTGTTACGTTTTTTCCTTATAATTTAGGGCGGCATACATATATTTAAACAAAAAATATAAAAAAGAAAAGCAAAGCAAATCAACCTACAGCGTGGAAGTTACAGGGGCACTTTTTTATTCTAAACAGTTAACTTACCTTGCACACTCAAAATTCTCAAAAACCTAGCTACTGAAGATCGATTCATGGTTAATTGGTGATTTCTTTGGCGGAAACTCAAAATCCATTGTAGATCGAGGGGTAAGAACTCTAATTTCTTTCTTTTTGGTCTTTATAATTGATGATTTTTTCTAGGCTCCAATTTGTTGTAGGCCTTTTGAATTCGTTCGTTGTTTGATGTGACCTTGATTTTTCTTTGTTATTTCTACCTACAATTCATGTGTTATTTTGACTACAATTGCAACAATATCTCTCTATTATTATTATTTTTGTGGGATTTTCTCTTATTTAATTGGGGCTTTCCTTCTGTTCGGGGTTTCGTCATGATTTTCTGGGTTTTGTTAGGAATTTCAAGATTTTCTGGGTTTTGTTAGGAACTTGCGTATATCTTCATCATCCTACTTAGATAAAAGCAAAAATAATCTCTTGATATTTATTTTCTGTCTAAGATCAGAATTTCCTTCGATTAAAATTTGAAACTTTGGTGCTATGTTAATTATAATAGTGAATTGATGATTGTGACCCACTAGTGATGTAATATCGTTTTAATATTTACACATGCAACTTCAAATATGAATTATTAGGTATTAATTATAACTTCTATGTTATTAGTGATGTACTGTGTGAAGTGTAATAGTGAATAGATGATTGTTAACTACTAGTGTTGTCATATATGCAACGCTTGAATAACCCTGGTTTTTAATCCTTTCAATTGATTATATTTCTAGCTGTTATATATATTAGCTTAATCTTTACACATAGAATTTTAAATATGGATTATTAGGTATTAATTACATAACTCCGTAGATTATTAGGTTCCGTGATTGAGTTGTCATATGCAATTGTTTATCTAACTTTGTTTATTTAATCCTCTAAATTGATTATATTTCTGAAACCTCTTTACTTTTTAATTTGTGTATGTATGGTGTACATCTTATTTTATATTTCATGGGTATTAGCAAAGGATAGTTACGACTTCCTTTTAAATGGAATTTTCTAATATACACAAATCAACTCGTTGTCTTAGCTTAGTTTATTCCCTAAACTACGTAAAAGGTCTGCTCCTATAATTTTTCTATATGATAAAAGCATAGCCTTCTTGGTCCTACACTATTTAGTTAAAAGAGACTTAAGTGTCTTCCTTGGATATAAGTGACTTCTTTGGATTATCATATTTAAAAATTGTTTTTCTTTAAGGTGAAATATGACTGCATATATACTAATTGACACAAAGAATATAAAAGACAAAAAAAGGCTATGTCATAGTATTACAAATTTGAGTTAAGGATGTTCCTAAATTATAATTCTTAGACTATTATTGTATATCACCATAGTCGTAAGTCTTAACATAGTATATACCTTAATAATTTATCCAGATTTAGTTAATAGTGATTCTTATTTTGGAAATAACATCTTATATCTTTTTACCACTCTAAGAGCTTAGAGTATCCATGAGATATATATTCATGTTGCTTCTATATGACCTTGTTAGGTTATAAATCAAAGTTAGATGCCTTTTATTGTGGCTTCGAGTCTTATCGGATAAACATGCTGCTGCATTTTTTCAAACTTCATTATAAAATTTTCCTTAGGTGGTTTTTTTAATTTATACATGTTCAATATATAGTATATGGATTTTTCATGAAATACCACTGAGTTTTTCCAAAATTCACCATATACCACACAAAAATTTTTAATTCACCATATACCACTGAGTTTAACATAAATGTCACAACATGCCATTTCCGTTAACTCAGTTAGTCATTAACGTCAATTGTGCCACGTGGCAGCTTGTAATTGGTTTCCTTTTAAATTATTTAACTTTAAAATAATTGCTTAATTAATTATCAAAAAATAAAAATAAAAAAATAATTGAAAAACTAAATAATTAATTGAAAAACTTTTACAAAAATAATTGAAAAAAAAATTAAACCCACCACCAACTGCCAGCCATCTCCTCGCCCCCAACCAGCACCCAGCCAGCCCCCCGCCCCCCGCTCCCAGCCTTGAACCACCACCGCGCCGGCGCCGCCCCTCACCCAGCCTTGCGCCGGTGCCCCCATCCCTCCCTTGAACCACCAAACCCAACCCAAATTCTCCCTCCTATGTTCCCAAAACGTCTCCCCCTGCAACCCTTCCACCTAAGCCGAAACCCACCATGCCGAAATCCAACGCCGGCGACCCAGATCCCTCTCCCTCACGTCACCGCCGCCCAATTTAGTTGCAAACAACCAACCCAAAATCTCCCAGCCCCAGCCCGTGTACGACCACCCTCTTCATCGCCGGACTGGAACGGCCCGCCACCCCTTTATCACCACCATCACAACCCCCTGCCGCCGCCCCTTACCACCATCACAACAAAGTCTCACCTTCCTCCGCAATTGCTGCCACCACAACCCACCACCACCAAGCGAACCCACACACACCAAATCGCCACCAATCGCACCAAATCGGCGCCACCGCACCAAATAGCCGGAGTTTAGGAGGTGGCGGGTTTCGCGGTGCCGGAGTTATCAATTTTAAAGGTTGGGGTTTCTGGGTTAGGGATCGGGTTGTGGGTTTCTACAGGTTCTGGGTTGGGGTTTTACCAGTTATTTGGGGTTTTCTGGTTAGGGATTGAAGAAGAGGGAAGGTGGCTGGAGAAGGATAAGAAGGGGGAGGGGTGGTCGGGAAATCGATTTAAGGGACGGGAATGGGATGGGAGGTCGAAAAAGGTTGGGGACAGGGGAGTGGAAGAGGGAGGAGGGCGAGCTGCTGGGAAAGGGAGGGAAGGGGGAGGAGGGGGGGCTGCCGGAAAAATGGAGGGAAGGAGGAGGAGGGAGCTGCCGGAAAAAGAGAGGGAAGGGGAGGATGGAGGTGGAGGGGAAGAGGCAGCCATTGATGAAGGTGAAGGGGAAAAAATAAAAAATAAAAAAAAATTTATTAATTAAATTTTTTTTTATTAATTAAGAGTTAATTAGATTATCAAACGGATTTATTGAAAGCCACTAAGTGAAAGCCACGTGGCACAATTAACCTTAATCACTAACGGCGTTAACGGCAGACTAACGGCAGTTAGAAAAAATGGCATTCTGTGTTAATGTACATAAACTCAGTGCTATATGGTGAATTAAAAATTTTTGTGTGGTATATGGTGAATTTTGGAAAAACTCAGTGGTATCTCATGAAAAATCCGTATAGTATATATACCAAAAGTTTATACTTCAATGCTTGCTTTTTTTATTTTTTATTATTTTTATTTTTTAAATTTGTTTGTAAGGATAATCTTATTTGAAAAGCATGGATATCGATACAAGTTGGATTGAACTACCCAACAACCATCCAACTTATCGTAGTGGAACTGTCAAATTCATTAAGTTGGCTAAAGAAGGGCTTGTAGATGGAAAAGCTCTCTGATGGTAAGAAATGTAGGATGGAAAAGTGGCTGACAATACCAGAAATAGAGGAGCATATTTTGTTTAAAGGTTTTGACAAGCAATACAAGAAATGGATTTTTCACGGCAGAGGACCAGTCCTTGAGCGCATGTTTAGTGATCAACACGGTTCAATTGGGGATGTTGCTGGAACCACTAGTCAAGGGGCTCAACATGGGGTTATAGGTCGAGATGATATGAGAGGCTTATTAGGAGATGCTTTCGGTGTTAATATGTCCAATGTGAATGAGCCTGAACCTGTAGATCCACACCATGCTGGATCAAGTGATCAAAGTGAGCCTAACTTTTTTGACCATTCCTCAATTGAAGAGCCCACTCCATCCCCAACGCAAGTGATGAATGAAAAAGAAAAGGCTAACTTTGAGAGACTATTAGAAGCTTCAAATAATGAATTATATGCTGGATGTAAGACGTTCTCTAAACTTTCATTTCTTGTGCGAATGTTTCACATAAAGTGTATGCATCATTTATCTGCCGAGTCCTATACAATGATTCTTGAACTTCTAATTGAAGCATTTCCTCAAATTATGGAGTTCCCATCATCATATTATGAATCCAAGAAAATGATTAATACCTTGGGTCTTGGGTATGAAAAAATTGATGCTTGCCCGAATAATTGCATTCTCTATCGAGGTGAACATTCGGACAAGGATGAATGTGATGTATGCCATGCTTCGAGATGGAAGACAACTAAGTCTAAAGAAGGTAGTACAAGTGGGGAAGATAAAGATGTAAAAAAAGATGAACCTGCGAAGGTACTTCGATATTTCCCTTTGATCCCAAGGTTTAAAAGACTTTTATTTGTCTTCTAAGATAGCGAAAGATATGATATGACATGAGAAGGATCGCGATAAACAGGAAGGTATATTGAGGCATCCTGCAGATGCTTCAGCCTGAAAAGATTTGATGATAAATATTGTGATTTTTCTTCTGATCCTCGAAGTGTGAGAGTAGGGCTTGCTAGTGATGGTTTTAATCCTTATCGCTTAATGAATACCACGCATAGTACATGGCCAGTGGTGTTAATGATTTATAATCTCCCACCATGGTTATGTATGAAACATTCTTCATTTATTCTTTCCTCTTTAATTCCAGGAAAATCAAGTCCTGGAATTGACATTGATATCTATTTGCAACCTTTAGTGGATGAGTTGAAGTTATTATGGGAGGGAGTAGATGCATTTGATGCTTACAAAAAACAATATTTTAAACTGCGTGCTGCTTTAATGTGGACAATCAACGATTTTCCAGCTTATGCAATGTTATTAGGGTGGAGTACGAAAGGCTATCATGCATACCCTTCTTGTGCCCATGAAAATCGTGCTGAAAAGTTGGCAGGTAAAATGTGTTACAAAGGGTTTCGAAAGTGGCTGCCCATTGATCACCCTTATCGATCTCAAGCCCATTTGTTTGATGGGAAAGAAGAGTATGGTCTTGCTCCAAGCCGTTAATCAGGGACTGATGTTCAAAATCAACAAGAAGGGGTTGCATATACATATGGAAAAGGGAAAAAAACCTTCTAAAAAAAAGAGAGCAAGACAAGATGATGATGATGATGACGAAGAAAATGATGATATTAATGTTTTGTGGACCAAAAAGAGCAAATTTTTTGATTTACCTTATTGGGAGCATAATCCTCTTCGTCATAATTTAGATGTTATGCACATCGAAAAAAATGTGTGTGACAATTTCTTAGTCACCTTACTAAATGTAGATAAGAAATCCAGGGATAATGAAAAAGTTAGAAAGGCAATGAAAGAAGAAGGAATAAAGCCACATCTTTGGATTAAGACTAGTCCAAACGGGCAATCAATTATGCCTCTTGCTTCTTATTCTATGTCAAAAGAGGATAAACTACGATTCTTAAGGGTGTTCCAAAAATTAAGAGTTCCGGATGGATATTGATCTAATCTCTTAAGATGCGTGAATATGAAACAAAAAAAACTTCAGAATCTAAAGAGTCATGACAACCATGTCACTATGAAAGATCTTTTGCCTGTAGCTCTATAAGCTTTAAGAGCTACAGAAATTGTGGATTTGGTGTCAGAGTTGTCATCCTTTTTCAAAATCGTGTGCTCTACCACCCTTGATGTGAAAGTGTTGGATGAGATACAAACCAAAATTGTTTTAACTTTTGTAAGATAGAGATAGAGTTTGTACCAACATTTTTTACAGTCATGGTTCATTTAGTCATTCATTTAGTGGAGGAGGCCAAACTTGGTGGACCAGTCCATTATAGGTGGATGTATCCTATTGAAAGGTTAGCATTTAAATCTATACAGTTAATTTATCGAATAATTTTATGTATTAAATATTTATGTTTCTTTTCTTTAAACTGTATTTGGAAGGTACTTGGCCCATTTGAAATCATGTGTGACTAACAAAGCTCAACCAGAAAGGTCAATTACAGAAGGATACCATTTAGAAGAGATGATTAACTTTTGTTCAAGATACTTAGAAGAAATTGAGACCTTATTTTATAGGCTGAAGAGAAATGACGATCTTATTCTGGATACAAGTGCTTATTTATTTAATTCTGGTGGTCGATTCATTGGGGCGAAGAAAATTGCTCGTTTAGATGCTAAAAGTCTAGAGCAAGCACATCACTACGTTTTACTTCATTTTGATGAGATGGCTGAATTTCGTGAGTAAGTATTAAGTTAGGTTTCTTAAGATATTTTTCTTTCTTTAATTTGTATGGTTGTTGTTTCTATAATTCAAGTGTTTTGATATGTTACAGTGAGTTCTTACACCAGAAGCGACGTGAGAATCGATTTAGAGAAGTACGAGGTGACACAATAGTAGAGTATGATTGGATCATTAAAGATTCTCTAATTGGCTTAGAGCCCAGGTTGTTATATATAGACTTCTGTTAAAATAAGACATTATTCATTAAATATAATGCTTACTTTATTAGTTATTTTGTCATTACAGGTACATAATATAGATAGCAATAGTGAGCAAGGGAAGCTAAGGAAAGCTTTGGCAAGTGGTTTATATGATCGTACTACAGAGTATAAAGGCTTTGTAATCAATGGCTACAAGTTTCTGACTGTAGACCGTGAACGCTATCGCAGGACACAAAATTCAGGAGTTATGGTTGAGGCAGATGGCCAGTTTTACTATGGAAAAGTCAGGAAAATATATGAATTAAGTTATTATGGGACATAAGGTTGTGTTGTTTCGGTGTGATTGGGCAGACATTAGTAAGGGATTAAAGACATATGAGAATGGGGGTATTTCTGTCAACTTTTCAAAGTTGATGCATAGTGGACGATTAATGAAAGATGATCCTTTTATTTTTTTCATCTCAAGCGAAACAGGGATTAAAGAAATACGAGCATCAGAGTCTATCTATTCCAATGCATCTCAAATGAATTTTGGTGAAAACTCCTCTAATAACGATGGGAATGAAGCGTGTAGAATTGGAGGTTCAAGGAGGAACGACAAAAGAAAGAAGCGCTCCATTACAATAAATGGAAACTCTTCTACTGACGAAGCCCAAGATTGGAGAGATGATGTTAACTTTGATGAAAGAGAGGATGTTCGTGCCATTGGTAAGTTGCCTTACACGAGTCTTTGTTTTCTGACATAGCATGATATTTTTTTATTTTTTTTAAACAATACATGTACTTCTCCCTTTTCTTATTCAATTTAGTTCTGAAAACGACCGTATGTGATATCTTTGCTCTGTATGTGTAATATGTAGTTCTCTATTCTGAACTGTGATGGTGTTTGTGTCGTATATTTGGCTGAAATATGAGTTAAGCTAGAAGCCATGGCATTAAGACCAACTTTATTATAGTAGTTTATAAATACTTTATTCAAACAACTTATTTATATATGTATTATTCTTATATGCTTGAGTTGTAGATTCTGAAGGAAATGTGCAGTTATGGAGTGGTTCTATACAGCCACATGATGTGTGGCTTCTTGAAAAAGAAGTCAGATTTGAAGTTACATTCAACAGATTTTGCCAACCAATTAGAAAGGGCGGATCAATACTTGTGAAATTCATTTCAATTATAGCAAATAAAGATGATATTTTTCCTATAAGAGATGTAAATTAACGAAATGTGAATGCAACAATACTAGGTGATATTGTTAATTTGATTCGTGTAAGTGGTTTTAATTATATTTTTCATTTAGTTGATTCCTTGACGTATATATTTATATTATATTATTATTATATCCAAAAATATATGAGTTTTTGTAGGAAAAATTCATCATTCGGGATGGTAAAATCTATGATGATGCAATGCTTAAGCACGTGGGTAAGCATCGTAGGCAGTGGAAGTTTGAGCTCAAAGCTAAATATTTCAATCCCACTGTACGAACCAGAACACAAATTGAAAATGACAGGCCTGGAGAAATTGTTCGTGAGAATTGGCTTCCATTGGTCGAATTATTGGTTTTCAAAGAAGAGCAAGGTACTCTGTTTTAATCTCTGTTTTATATTCATCTTTCCTATTTACAATCATTTTGTTAATTTAATGGAATGGTTGTTGATTTAATGAAATGAACTTACGTTTTTTATGATAATGTTAGAATTATTCTGAAATTGGAAGAGAAGCACGTGCTTCTTTGGGACGTCTACATACCAATGGTGCTACGAGCTTTGCTAATTCAAGAGACGAATTTGTATGATCGATGCATTTGCTGACACTTTATCCATAAATATTACATCTGTTTTTGTGATTTTTAAATATATTAATTGAATGTGATTCTGCTTATGAAGGAGATTGAGCATGGAAGAGAGCCTAGTGCTTATGAGTTTTTTGATAAAACTCACCAACCAAAGAATGGATGCTATCCTAACAACACAAATACTGAAGAATTCATTGTATTATTTCCAAACTTATTTCATATTTCACTTTAATTATCTACCAACCTTGTAATTATACACTTTACATGTGTGTGACTATATTTCCTTGCAGGACATGGCAAAATCTAAGATTGATTCAAGTGCTGCAAATTCATCAACTTTGAAGCCTCAAGTAGAGATAGAGAATGAAGTCTTCAATGATTTGATGTAAGATAAGGATAAAAAAAACCAAAGACCATTGGGTTATGGGTTTGGGGTGAATCATAATGATGTGTTTGGAGTTCATGCATTATTGCGAAAAAAAAAGGGGCACTTCTTATAACAGTAGCGATGACCAGAATATGAAAGCTGATTTCGCAAGGTATAAGAGGCATACTGCAAACCTCTTAATGAGACTGACAACACAAATGACTAACGTGTTGGATGCAGTGCGAAGCGGTAATGTCTCTAATGAAATGTTAGATGCTACTTCCACAACATTACGCTCCATACATGCTCAGGTCAGCATCCCTTTCTGTAAAACATGTAACATTTTTTTTGTTTTATTATTGCATAGTCTATGGTATCATCATTTCTCCTTATATATCCTTCATGGTAAGGTGTACATGGCTTAAAATGCACCTTTAAGTTAGTATACTGTAGTTTTTAGCTATAATATATTTCTGGACATTCCTTTGTTATGGAATAGGAATCTCATATTTATTTTTTGTATGGCTCATATAAATTATACAACATATTAATTGATGTCTTTTTTTTCCCACAGAATATGGAAGAATCAAATGGAGGTGATGATGAAGATGAAGACGAGGATGAAGATCACTTGGATCTTTCTACTTGATTGGGCATGGAAAAATAGCACATATATTTTTCTCACTGAATATGGGAAACAATGAAACGTACATTATAGAATAGGAATCTGATTTACTTTTTGGTTGACCATTGTTACAAATGGAGACAGTGAACTTAATTTCTTGTTTAGACTTTTTTGATCGTCGAAAATTATGATTATGTTATTTTGATGATGAACGACTTTTAAGTTTATGTATGGATTGTCGGAGATTGGGTTTTGTTATTTATAGAAATATGTAGTACTACTTTTCTTATTGTTTAACTTTTACTTATTTATTATATTATGTGAGTGCAAATAGAATATATTTTTGACAACTGGTAAAATTCATATGGTCCTATAAATTATTTCATATAAGACGACTCTTGAAAGAGATATAAGATATGAAGAAATCTCGACACTTTGATACGTCCATTAATTCTTGTACTAACTGCCAAAATTATTCTCGATGCTTTTAGTGTCTAAATACTTCCCGCTTTTTTCAAAAATTAGGTATTTCCGACACTTTAGAATGTCAAAAATGTAAAGTGGGAAACAAATATATTTATTTCTCTAAAAAGTAATGACACTTTAAAGTGCCGGAAGTGAAATATAGATGCTTTAAAACGTCGATACTATTGACAATATAAAGTGTCGGAATTTCTGACATGTGAAATTTCGACACTTTACAAAGCGTCGGTAGTTACTTTACCGACGCTTTAAAGCGCAAAACACGGATTATGTGTAGAAAAGGCTAGGGTATTTCAGTACTGAAAAAGTCCACTTATTATAGCCTTTACAAAACAACCGCTATTAAAGGTGATTAGAGTAGGAAAAATAAACTGCCTAACTTTTCTATCTTTCCACGCGAAGCCATATCACTTTTCTTCTCTACAACTCTGCATTTAGCTAGAGTACTACTCAAAGAGACCCTAATTTCCTGAACACAAAACCTCTAAGTTCCGGCGACATTTTGCTACTCTCCGGTGAGAAGGATCGAAGAATCTTGCTGTCATCTTTCCCAGTCGTGATTTCGTAGAAGCAACATAGTATAATCCTTCAATTTTAAGGTATGTTTCTCAATCAAAAAAAAAAAAAAAAAAAAAGGATCGCTGAATTTTGCTTTTATTCATGATGAATTAGAGTAGTTGTGTTTAATTATTGCCAATTTTGTTGATGTTTATAATTTTGTTGGGGATTTGGGTAGAATTATACTCGTAATTTCAACAAGGGTTTAGCGTTTTTTTATTTTAATTTTTTTCTTTTCTGAATTATCAACTAATTTTCTTGCTTATTGATGAGTAGACTTCTGTAAAATTATCCTTTATTGTTAATTTATATTGTCATATACTGAATTTTGTCTAAATTCAAATTATGAGGCAAATCTTGATGTTTATATGTAGTAGGATGTCCGCAGAGTCATGAATTGATGTCTTCTCGGTTTTAAACTAGTTCGTATACTTCTTGCCAATTGAATTTTGATAGTCTATGTAGATAATATGGATAAGCTTCCTGTTTGGTTAGTATGTGCTTATTATTGACTAAATTTCTAATATATACGAAGAGGCCTAATCACAAAGTAGCTTGTTTTAAAATAAAACAATATTATATTGGTAAAATCATAATGAATATGTAAACTAGGAGCTGGTTACAAATAAGAGTTATGATAAGAAGTTTTAATGTCATTCATCAACAACTCACAAAGAGCCTTGATTTTAAGATAGCCTATTCGTTTATGTAATACTAAACAATAGAATCATAGCGCATTTCAATTGCCACCAGGTCATAGCCAAGGGTCATAATGCATTTTAGATCTTTGTCCTCTTTGAATAATTTCATCTAAATTATACCCTTCCCATTATCTTGAGCTGAGTGATAATACGACAACAACTTCAACTAGAATAAACCATTATACTAATTGTTCATTTTCTGAGACACTAATCTCAATTATCAAACTGTTCAAGGTCTGAGTGTGCCTGATAGCTTAAAGTGCATCAAGATGGATAATCACAAAGCTTAATTAAAAGAAAATGCAACTAATGACAAGTGAATTTACAAGCTATTAGAAATCAAAATACTTTGAGTGATCTTTTTTTAAGGTCATTAAGAATATAAAACTGAAGAGGGGGGGGGGGGATTAAAGCTTACAAAAAAAGTCAATTGTTGAAAACATTAATCTCGCACCGAATAGTTACAAACCGAGACAGTACATTTATAACTTCACACATATTATTGGTTTAATAGTGTAAAAATAACTAATCTGAAATTTGTCAAATACAGTTTTTTTTTTTTTTTTTTTTTTTTTTTTTTTTTTTTTTTTTTTTTCAATTTATGAAGTCTTAAACAAATTATGTTAAAAAGAGGTTTTTTTTTTTTTTTTTAAAAAAAAAACAAACCAGTTTTGGTTCGAAAATGGATGCATGCAAGGCGTAATAGTGATGAATATGAGTTAGGTGTAGAGGAGTTTATTACGATTGCTATTGAACATGCTGAGGATGTGAATAACATATTATGTCCATGTGTAAATTGCAACAATATGGTTCGAATTAGTATTGATGATGTCAGAAATCATTTGATGGTTAATGGTATTAATCAAATGCACAAGTGTTGGTTTATGCACGGTGAGATTATAGGGGATGGTCCTTGTAACATGCCAACTCGAATGAGTAATGAAATTGAAATGGGAGAAGAGACTGAAGGTGAATTCAACTTTGAATATGATGGGTTATTAGAAGAAATGACACAAGCCATGGAGCACAGCATTGGAGAATGTCAAGAGATGTTTGAAAGCTTATTTGAAAATGTGAAGAAACCATTGTACCCCGGATGCTCTAAATATAGTAGATTGTCAGGCGTGATAAAACTCTTTAATTTGAAGGCAAGCCCTGGATGGACAGATACAAGCTTTACAGAGTTGCTAAAAACACTGCAAGATATGCTTCCTGCAGAAAATTTGCTTCCTGGTCGCACCTTATAAAGCAAAAAAGATGTTGAGCTCTATAAGCATGTCCGTTCAGAAAATGCACGCATGCCCAAATGATTGCATCTTATACCGAAAAGAGTATGCTACATTAGAAAGTTGCCCATAATGTAGTGCTTCTAGGTATAAGAAAAAAAAAGGTTGCTGCCAAAGTAATGTGGTACTTTCCAATAGTACCAAGGTTTAGACGCCTTTTTAGTATTCCCGAAGAAGCAAAAAATTTGGTGTGGCATGCTGAGGGGAGAAAGAAAGATAATTTGATGAGGCACCCAACCGATTCTCCACAATGGAATATGATTGATCGTGACTTTCCTGATTTCGAAGCTGAACCTAGAAATTTACGACTTGCACTTGCAATTGATAGGATGAATCCTCATGGTAATCAACGTAGCACTCATAGTACATGGCCGGTGATTTTTATGATTTATAATCTTTCCCCCTCACTATGCATGAAACAGAAGTATATAATGATATCTATGCTAATTTCGGGGCCAAGGCAACCTGGCCACGATATAGATGTATATTTGGCACTATTAACTGAAGATTTAAAGATGTTGTGGGATACCGGTGTTGAAGTATTTGATGTTAATCAGAATGAAAATTTTAATTTGAAGGCTGTGTTATTCGGTACAGTAAATGATTATCCGGCATACGATAATCCGACAGGTTATAGCGTGAAAGGTTATGAAGCATGCCCTATATGCTACAAAAATACACCATCGCGTAAGTTAGAAAATTCTAATAAGATTGTGTGCATGGATAACCGTAAATGGCTGCCAATGAATCATCGCTACCAAAGGTGGAGGAAAAATTTTGATGGTACTAGTGAATATGGTAAATCTCTGATTCTTGTAACTGGAGATCAAGTGGTGGAAAAGGTGCAAGGTTAGATATACAACCGGTTACTAGAAATAGGCCGTTTTCCGAGGGAATCGTTCCGACGAACCTGAATTCCGTCGGAAAATTCGAAATTTCCGACGAAATTATGGTCTGTTGGAAAATTCTGTCGGAAAAGGTACGTTACGACGGAAAATCCGTCGTAATTCTTGCGACGGAAATTAATTCCCTCGGAACAATAGGCTTCCGTCGGAAAGTTAACTTTCCTACGGAATTTAAATCCGTCGGAATTTTCCTATGGAATATTCCGTCGAAAAACCCAAATATTCCGACGGAAAAATCCGTCGAAACGTTCTAATATATATAAAAAAAAACCGACTTATTTTTCTTTCTCCTCTCCTCTTTCTCTCTCATCTACTTCTCTGCTTTTCCTCCTTCCCCTTCCCCTTCGTTTCTCTCTCCTCCTTCTCCTTCCCCTTCCCCTTCGTTGCTCTCTCCTCCTTCCCCTTTCCTCCTTCTCCTTCGTTTCTCTCTCCTCCTTCTCCTTCCCCTTCCCCTTCCCCTTCGTTGCTCTCTCCTCCTTCCCCTTCCCCTTTCCACCTTCTCCTTCGTTTCTCTCTCCTCCTTCTCCTTCCCCTTCCCCTTCGTTGCTCTCTCCTCCTTCCCCTTCGTTGCTCTCTCCTCCTTCCCCTTCCCCTTTCCTCCTTCTCCTTCGTTTCTCTCTCCTCCTTCTCCTTCCCCTTCCCCTTTCCTCCTTCTCCTTCGTTTCTATCTCCTCCTTCCCCTTCCCCTTCTCCTTCCCCTTCGTTTTTCAAAGGCACTAACCACCGCCACTGCACAACCACGAACCACCGCCGCTACTCAACCACGAACCACCACCGCCTTCTAATGGTTTTTCAAAGAACAAATTACAGTTTTTCATGTCAAATTCGACCATGAAAACCCTAGATCTAGAGTTTTCATGGTCGAATTTGACCTTTAAAACCCAAATTCAAGCCAAATTAGGGGTTTTGATGGAATTCAAGGTAAGTTCTCTTATTCTCTTTCTCTTATTTTTTTCGGCTTTTTAACTTTTTTTGTTCTGATTTTTGTGATTTTTCGTGTTTTAGATTTGTTTTTTCGGCTTTTTTCGTTTTTTTTTTCTTCTGATTTTTCGTGATTCTTTTGATTCAAGCCTTTTTTCTTCTGATTTTTCGTGTTCTTGATTTTTTTTTTTCGGCTTTATTCGATTTTTTTCTCTAATTTTTCGTGTATTTGATTTATTTTTTTGATTTTGATTTTTCCTGTTTTTGAATTTGTTTTTGTAGTTTTGTTTTTTCGGCTTGTGGTGGGTTGTGGGTAGTTGTGGGTTAGAGGGGGTTTTGTGGGTGGGGATCTAGGTTGGGGGGGTTCAGGGGGAGGGGATCTGGGTTGTGGGGGCAGGGGGTGGGGATCTGGGTTGTGGGGGCAGGGGGTGGGCTGGTGGGTGGGGATCTGGGTTGTGGGGGCAGGGGGTGGGCTGGTGGTGGGGGTGGTGGGTGGGGCTGTTTTTTTTTTTATTAAACTTTCCGACGGAATTTCCGTCGGAAGAATAGTTGTTTTCGACGGAATATTCCGTTAGAAGGTTGTAGGTTCCGACGGAATTCAGCCGTCGGAATGTTGCGACGGACTTCACATTTTAGTCAAACTTGACTCTGACAGAACAAAATCCGTCGGAAATTCTGTCGTAATGGACCTTTCCGACGGAATTTCCCTCGGAATATCGCGAAATTCCTACTAACTGTAATGCGACGACGCCTTCCGACGGAATTCCGTCGGAAATGGGAATTTCCGACGGAATTTCGGGGTTTTCTGACGGATATTTTCCGTCATTGATGGGCTGTTTTCTAGTATTTAATGTTAACATGGAAAATTAAATGCTAAGGATGTTCCAAATCAAGGATATAAGAAAGAGTCTGTTTTCTGTAAACTTCCATGCTGGAAAAATTTATACGTCAGACACTTTCTTGATGTGATGCATATTGAGAAGAACATATGTGAAAGTGTGGTTGGCACACTTCTGTATATTCCTGGCAAGAGTAAGGATGGGAAAAAAGCAAGGATGGACTTAGCTGACATGAATATCATAACAGAGTTGCATCCTGTAACGGAGGAAGGTCGTACCTATCTCCCTCCTGCATGTTATACTCTAAGCAGATTGGAAAAAGGGTGTTTTGTGAGTCCCTATATGGAGTTAAGGTTCCTGATGGGTATGCCTCAAACATAAAAAAAATTCGTGAAGATAAAAGACCTAAAACTAATAGGTTTAAAATCTCATGATAACCAAATTATAATGGAGCATCTATTACCCGTTGATATTCAGTCCATTTTGCCTGAACATGTCCGAGATTCTATCACTAATCTTTCCATTTTCTTTAGTGAGATATGAAGCAAAGAAATTGACCCTTTGAAGCTTCCAGACTTGCAAAAGCGTCTTGTTTTTACTTTATGTCAGTTAGAGATGTACTTTCCTCCATCTTTTTTTGACATAATGGTCCGTTTAACATTGCACTTAGTTAGAGAAGTCCAATTATGTGGACCTGCTTACATGAGATACATGTATCCTGTTGAGAGGTACATGAAGATTTTAAAAAGTTATGTTAAGAATGGGAGTCGACCAGAAGGTTGCATCGTTGAGAGATATTTAATGGAAGAAGTTGTTGACCTTTGTAGTCACTACCTGACTAATGTTAAAGCTATAGGGATTCCTAAGCCTAGAAAAACAGTAGGCTTAGAAGGGAAGGGAATCATGGGAAATGAAGTGCTGACTATATCTCCTTTGTTGTGGCATCAAGCACATTTGTATGTATTGCATAATAGTCCATAGGTACGTGGAAGAACACTTAATGAGTTAAAGAGCCTTTATTCAAGAAAGAATGAGAAATGGATAAATGATGAACACAATTCCTCTTTTGTTGAATGGTTAAAAATACGGATTGCTGATGAACTGATCCATTCCCCATCTACTGTTTCTGATAGATTAAAGTGGTTGTCTCGAGGTCCTCGTAGAGATGTCATATCATATTCTGGTTATCAGTTGAATGGGAATACATTCTGCACTAAGGATAGAGACAATGAGACTACAATGCAGAATAGTGGGGTGACTATTGTGGCACAAGCTATGCATATCTCTAGTGCGAGAGACAAAAATCCAATTTATGCAAAAATGTCTTATTATGGGGTAATAGAGCATATTTGGGAACTGCACTATTGCTCTTTTAGACTTCCTATTTTTGGTTGTAAATGGGTCAATAATAATAATGGAGTTTAGGTGGAAAAAGGCATGTTTTCACACTTATGGAAATAAATAGAATGGGTAGTAAAGATGACCCATTAGCGTAGCGGCGCATACACAATCAATTCCATCAGGGTTTGTACGTGTCGGCGTTGATTATGCTATTGAGAAGGAAACACCTCTGCTGTGCCACTTGAATGTGAAGCAAGTATTATTAGGGAAGCTATAGGGACCATTGTATTTTGGCCTATAGAACTTGTGGTTCTTGATAATATGTATATGATACATCAGCATATATAAAGGTTGTAAAGTCATCGAAACAACGAGAGCAAAAAAGTACATCAATCTCCAAATCACCAACCCCTCATACGGCTAGAACATTATCTGCTACTGAATTACAAAATGTTTCCTTAGGACGTGAAATATTAGTAAATGTAGATACCCTTCCAGAGAATCTCATGATGTTTTAAAAGTATGTTTTGAAGATGAACAAGAGCGAACAAATAAGAATTCCCATTGACATTGGAATAGCAAGTCAAAACAAGGAACTATTTCTTGGCAAGGAGGAACTTTTACAATTCCTAGCCCAAGAACAAATTGGAGTCAGTCATATTTTGGCATTTATGTCGTAAGTTCTCTTCCCATTGTTTATTTCCCCAAAATATGAATTATGATTATAATGAATTTGTTGTCTTTTTAATGTGTAGAAAACTGTGTCTTGGTTGCTTTGTGATGGGAGCGTCTCCTATATTTGGGTTCTTATGCCCATCAGGTATATATCTTTTCACACAATTTAAAAAATGGGAGATGAAGAAGTCCTTAGATTGCAAGAAAAGCATATCTCAATACATTGTGGATATCTTAAACGACTATGCAGTAAAAGGAAAAGTATTCGTTGCTCCATATAATGCCGTGTAACTTGTCTAAATTCACTTAATTTTGGGTATTATGGCTCACTTATTAGGTTAATTTCAAGTATCTTGTAATAGTTAGTTGTTGGTATTATTTTATTTTGGTGATTGGTAAATGATTATACTTGGTGTTGATTTCTTCGTTTATAGCTATATTATGACACAACCTATAATGTCTATCCAATTTGGTACTTGGCACGAAAACATATCCTTTGATGAGAATTTAGGGATTGGTGAATTGAATGGTGTTGTTGGCCGATGAATGGCATTTCATGTCTTTACAATCATATTTTCATTTTTACTTAAAAGTTTTTCCTATTATTGTCACATTTGTGTCCACTTTATTAGTGCTCTCTGGGTAAATTTTAATGTAAGCTGAGTTATATGTTAGATATAATAGGCCATGTAGTGAAACTACATTTACAAGTACATACCATAATATGATGGTTTGATTATTAAAATTATTTTGTTGTAATGCAGGTTACATTGGATATTATCCGTGATTGATCCTTACAATAATACTGTATATTACTTGGATTCTTTATGTGAAGATGGCACAACAGGAACAAAAAGAGACATAATATCTGATTTACAGGATATTGTTAACACGTAAGTGCCTTTTATTAAGCCTTTATCCAATGCATTACTTTTGTAATATGCTAATGTTATTTATTTTATCTATGTAGAGCATTATTTCAATTTCAAAGTGATAGAGAAATTACCACAAAACTGAAGATGAATACGAAATGGCTAAAGATAAAAGTATGTGTTGTGTCATATTTGTCATATAATTTGAAATTATATATTATTAAGAATATAATCTCAATTATTTACTTGTGCTATTGGTTATATAGTGTCCACAACAACCGAATTGCATTAATTGCGGACATTATGTTATGCGATTCATGAAAGAAATAATCTCGCACACACGCACTCAAATTCCAGAAAATGTAAGTCGTAGTAGTGTTTTTCCTTGGTTTTAATTCTTAGTATTGCACCAAGAGATCTAATATGATGTATAACATTTTGTGATGGTTGTGTTTGAAAATTGATTGTAGTGTTTTAGTGCTTGTACCATACATATTGTCAGTGGAAATACTTCATTTTTGTTTATCTTCATTCTCTGGCATATCTTTATCTTGCATATTGTCATATACTCCTATGTCTTAAGATATTTACATACCATATAAACTAAATTTGTGTATAATAGCTTGATAATGCATCTAATTAAGACTTTAAATGTTAGACCTTTTAATATGTTAAATATTATTAATAGAATTTTTTTCTACTGCAGTACTTTTCAGATTGTCAATTTCCAAAATACGACCAAGAACAGATTGATGAAGTAAGGATTCACTGGGTGCGATATGTTTTACAGCAAATTTAGATTAGAGATATCATCGTATTATAATCGCGATGTAAATTTGGAGATATAATAAGACATTTATCTCAAAATTTTAGTTTACAATGTTTAGGTTTGTGCAATACAATTTTTTGAGAGATAATTGCTACGTATTTGTGAAAAAAAAAAATGTATCATTGTTTTTTTATGAAATTGAAGGAAAGTATTTGGCTTTTTGATTCAGTATGCACGTAATAAACATGCCAAATAAAATGGATGATAATTTTTAAAAATATAATTTGTTTCATAGAGGTCACAATAAATCGCTGTAAGAAAATTCAAATTTTGTTCAAATTGTGTTGGCGCTAATTTATAGTGGTTTTTAGAACATCTATAAATACAAAATTTGAATACAAGCTTGGGACTTGATATTATAGCGGTTTTAACAACCGCTATGAAAAGGCAGTTATTCTTTTTATAGCGGCGAGGTTTATAAAATAGCGGCGAGGTTTATAGCGGTTGATGAACCGTTATAAAAAGATAAAACACCGCTATAAAATACAATATATGGCGTAGGAGGATGATTTATCTAGGCGTGAATTTTTATTAGCCATGGTTGATGCGGGAGTTATTGGATTTGCTCATATTATTGAACTATAGAAAACATGCCCGGATTTTACGCAAGAGTTCAAGTCTCCTTCACACAACTACATACTTGTTGCAAGATGGTTTTTTATTTTGTGGAAACAAGCCATGTATTCCTCAACATGGAGTTCGCGAATTATTTGTTAGAGAGGCGCATAGTGGTGCTCTTGCGGGACACTTTGGTGTACACAAGACGGTTGATATGCTTAGTGAACACTTCTTTTGGCCTGGAATGATCAAAGATGAGCAAAGTGTGGTTTCGAGATGTGCAACTTGTCAAAAGGCGAAGAGTTCTTTCACTAAAGTTTTGTACACACCTTTACCTATTGCCGATTGTCCTTGGGATAGTGTGAGTATGGATTTTATTGTTGGTCTTCCTCGAACTCAAAGAGGAAAAGATGCTATCACGGTTGTTGTTGATAGGTTCTCAAAGATGGCTCACTATATTTCTATGCACAAGAGTGAAGATGCACAACATGTAGCCGATTTGTACTTCAAAGAGATTGTTCGTGTTCATGGTGTTCCTAGAAGCATAGTTTCGGATTGAGATTCAAAGTTCCTTAGTCACTTTTGGAAGTGTATGTGGAGATTACTTGATACAAAAATGATGTTAAGTACTTCTCACCATCCCAAACCGAGGTAACAAATCGAACGTTGGGAACTTTATTGAGGGGGTTGGTTATTAAGACTAAAAGGGATTGTGATGTTAAACTTTGTCATGCGGATTTTTCTTGGAATAGAGCTCATTCATCCACTACACAACGTAGCCCTTTTGAAATAGTTTATGGTTTTAATCCTTTCTTGCTTATTGATTTATTGCCTTTGAGTAAAGAGGATATTCATGTTGATGCTAAGAAATGACTTGTGGTTTACAAGAAGACATGTGAACAAGTTAAGAGAAAGATTGAGAATATGAACAACTTATACAAGGCTCGGTCTAATAAGAAGCGCAAGAACATACATTCAACCTGGGAGATCTTGTTTGGTTACACTTGAGGAAAGAAAGATTTCCAAGCAAAAGGAAGAATAAGCTCACGCCTAGAGCCGATGGTCCTTTTGAAGTATGAGTAGCATATGGAGAGAGTGCCTACAACCTTGATGATGTGAATTTGAGGGAAATTTCTTTTACAGAGGGGGAGAATTATGTGAATCAAGAGGGAAATTCTTTTTAAGAGCCAATTACATTGATTTTGAGTCCAATAGGGTTCAAACTTGGAGGGAAGAATCAAGGATGGGTTTCATGCTTGTTTACCAAGGAAGAAAAATTATAGCAGCTTCCTTCCGACGAAGATAGCAATGAAAACGCACCAAAATGGGTGCCACGCACCGATTCACCGGCTCCAACATGAGCACAACAAAACACCAGTCAGGCACGTAAGATCCTCTGACGGTGGCGATAAGAAAAGGATCATATCTTGTTTTACTTAGTTTTTTCTAGAGTTTTTTCTTGCAAGTTTTTACCTTTCACTTGAAAGGGTTTTTCTTAGTTTAAGCACTTATGATTACTTATATTTTATGTTATTTATGTTTAAAAATTTCCTTAGTTTATTAAGATTTGTTTTAGGAATTATAGACTAATTAAGTCAAACTATGCTTACTACTAGTTCCCTAATCTAAGTAGAAGTAGCTTTCCTATTCTATTTAGGTTACTTGGAGCTAAAGGCTAGGGGCTTGTCCAATTCCTATTAGGCTTAGAATTAGTGATTATTTTTTTCTATGAATAGGGGAATTTCATTGATTTGTAAAAACAATAAAAAATACACAAAAATTCAGCTTACTAAAAGTTCATTGTTTAGCTTTTGCTTATATGTTTTTTTGCTAGTTTTCAATTCAAGGAGTTGGTTGATAATTAGAACGCCAAATACTTAGTGTCTAGGAGTAGGATAAGAGTTTAATCCCAAAATAATTAGCGTCTAGGAGTGGGTTAATTAGTTTGGGGATTCGAATCATAAGTTATTATTCGTGCCTTGGAACATTGGTCTCATTACTTACAATCAAAACATTTTGTGCTACATTCGGATCATGAAGCTTTGAAGTTCATTTATGAACAACAAAAGTTGAATTATCGACATTCTAAGTGGTTTGAATTCTTGTAATCATTCACGTTTTCTTCTAAGTACAAGGAGCGTGGGGAAAACGAATATTGTGGCGGATGCTTTGTCTAGGCATGCATTATTATTAGCCATGGTTGATGCGAGAGTTTTTGGCTTTGACCATATTATTGAACCATATAAAACATGCCCGGATTTTGCTCAAGAGTTCAAGTCTCCATCACGTAACTACATACTTGTTCCTAGATAGTTTTTTATTTCCTAGAAACAAGCTATGTATTCCTCAAGATGGAGTTCATGAATTACTTGTTAGAGATGTGCATAGTGGGGCTCTTGCAGGTTGTTTTTGGTGTACAGAAGACGGTTGATATGCTTAGTGAACACTTGTTTTGGCCTACAATGATCAAAGATGTGAAAAGTGTGGTTTCGAGAAGTTCAACTTGTCAAAAGGCGAAGAGTTCTTTCACTAAAGGTTTGTACACACCTTTACCTATTGTCGATTGTCCTTGGGATAGTGTGAATATGGATTTTATTGTTGGTCTTCCTCGAACTCAAAGAGGAAAAGATGCTATCACGTTCGTTGTTGGTAGGTTCTTAAAGATGGCTCACTTCATTCCTATGCACAAGACCGAAGATGCAAAACATGTAGCCGATTTGTACTTCAAAGAGATAGTTCGTCTTCATGGTGCTCCAATAAGCATAGTTTCGGATCGAGATTTAAAGTTCCTTAGACACTTTTGGAAGTGTTTGTGGAGATTACTTGGTACAAAGTTGATGTTAAGTATTTCACACCATCCCCAAACCGATGGCCAAACTGAGGTAACAAATCAAACGTTGGGAACTTTATTGAGGCGAGTGGTTAGTAAGACTCAAAGGGATTAGGGGTGTTAAACTTTGTCATGCGGATTTTTCTTGCAGTAGATCTCATTCATCCACTACTCAACGTAGCCCTTTTGAGATAATTTATGGTTTTAATCCTTTCTTGCCTATTAATTTATTGCCTTTGAGTAAAGAGGATATTCATGTTGATGCTATGAAACTACTTGAGGTTTTCAAGAAGACGTGTGACCAAGTTAAGGCAAAGATTGAGAAGATGAACAACTTATACAAGACTCGGTCTAATAAGATGCGCAAGAAACATACATTCAACCCGAGAGATCTTGTTTGGTTACACTTGAGTACAAAAAGATTTCTAAGAAAAAGGAAGAATAAGCTCAAGCCTAGAGCCGGCGATCCTTTTGAAGTATTAGAAACATACGGAGGGATTGCCTATTAGCTTTATTTGCCGAGTGAATACGGTAATGTAAGTGCTACTTTCAATGTTGGTGATTTGTCTCCTAACTTAGATGATGTGAATTTGAGGGCAAATTCTTGAAGAGGGGGAGAAAGATGTGAATCAAGAGTGAAATTCTTTTGAAGAGCCAATTACATTGATTTTTTGAGTCCAATAGGGTTCGAACTTGGAGGGAAGAATGAAGGATGGGTTACATGCTTGTTTACCAAGGAACAAGAATTGGGGCAGTTTCCTTCCGACAAAGCTAGCAATGGCGACGCACCAAAATGGGTGTCATGATCTTGTTCACCGGATCCGGCATGAGCCTAGCAAACACCAATCAGGCGCGTGAGATCCTTTGAGGGTGGCGATAAGAAAAGGATCATATCTTGTTTGACTTAGTTTTTTCTAGAGTTTTTTTATGTAAGTTTTTACCTTTCACTTGAAAGGGTTTTTCTTGGTTTAAGCAATTAGGATTATTTTTATTTTATGTTATTTTAGTTTAATAAGTTTCCTTAGTTTATTAGGATTTGTTTTAGGAATTATAGACTAAGTCAAACTATGCTTACTACTAGTTCCCTAATTTAAGTAGAAGTAGTTTTCCCATTCTATTTAGGTTACTTGGAGCTAAAGGATAGGGGCTTGTCCAATTCCTATTAGGCTTAGAGTTAGTGAGTTTTTTTTTTCTATGAATAGGGGAATTTCATGCCTTTGTAAAAACAATAAAAAATACACAAAAAATCAGCTTAATAAAAGTTCATTGTTTGGCTTTTGCTTAAACGTTTTTTGCTAGTTTTCAATTCAAGGAGCTGTTTGATTATTAAATGCTAAATACTTAGTGTCTAGGAGTAGGATAAGAGTTTAACCCTAAAATAATTAGTGTCCAAGAGTGGTTTAATATATTCGGGGATTCGAATCATAAGTTATTGTTCGTGCCTTGGATCATTAGTCTCCTTACTTACGAACAAAACCTATTGTGCTACATTCGGATCATGAAGCTTTGAAGTTCATTCATGGACAACAAAAGTTGAATTATCGTCATGCTAAGTGGTTTGAATTCTTGTAACCATTCATGTGTTCTTCTAAGTACAAGAAGCGAGGGGAAATCGAATACTGTGGCGGATGCTTTGTCTAGGCGTGCATTTTTATTAGCCATGGTTGATGAGAGAGTTATAGGCTTTGATCATATTATTGAACCATGTAAAACATGCCCGGATTTTTGGCAAGAGTTCAAGTCTTCCTCACGCAACTACATACT